TATGTCGGAGCGTGACGCCCCTTCGCGCAAGTAGTTCTTCTACCTCACCTTTAAATTCAGATCCATTGTTGGTTAGAATTTCTTCCGTATCTAGATGGGTATAGAGGAACCGTTCGATGTACGTGGCTATTTCTGCGGCCTTTCGGGTCTTACAGGGATAGACTTCGATATACTTGGAAAAGTGGTCAATTAATACTAATAAAATAGAATATTCACAGCGGTTTGGGCCAGGTGGCACATCAATATCTGTCGTGTCCATACGGACTCGCTGAAAAGGACACTCTACTTCCGTTGGTACGATCGTGTGTGGTCCCCGTATGGGGGCGCGATCAGCGGCACAGACCAGACAGTTAGCGACAATGTATTTGACATCCTCTCGTATATTGGACCAGAACCATCGGTTCTGGTCTACAGTTGCCTCCGTGACACGTATCGCGAAATGAGCGGCCTGTTCCTCGTGAGCAGATCGGATCCAATCGTATCTCTGGAAGGGATGGGGAACTGTCAGCCACAAACCCGATCCGTCAGTTTTACGTTTTTCCAAATGACCGTTGATCCATCGATAGTCCCGAGATCTCTCGGTCGCCCTACGTCTGCCGTGTTTGGTGAGGTGGCCCAATGATAATCCTGCTAATTTCGCCAATAAAATTTTATCCGTCCAGACTTCCGGCCGTCGGTATTTTTCGTCGTATTGAGGACCGTCCATACGGGCGGCCTAGAATCAAACCTCCGTGGGGAGTTTGTTCGTTCTACACAGGGGGCACCTCCATTCCTTGCTACTCGTTCGATATCGAACGCAGGCTCCGTGCGCACGATTGACACACGTGGCACATTCCACCCAATCGACAAATCCGGTCTCGAAGGGATAACAGTCGACCCCGTAAACCCGTGCAATACAGGTGCAAAAATAGCAGAATTTATCGGGGAGGGTGTCGAAGAAAGCTAAGGGAGTAAGAGGGGTAGAATTAGTAGGAGAAGAAGGGGTTGTGGAGGCAGGCGGGGTAGTCATGACGACAGAAGGGGGGAGACAGGACTGAATTGTCGAGAGAGTAGAGCAGGCAAATTAGTCCTCGTGTCACTTACTGCTTCGACAAAATCTCCACTTGGCCGTACCGAGGTCCAATCTTCTGCTCGGGCTCGTTCCACGGAATCACCTCCTCATTCTTCGGAACTTTCTCAGGCCGGTGCAGTCGTGTCAATACATCCGCATTCCCATGTCTCTCGTGCTTCCGAAGACGGATGTCAAAGTCCATGCTCTGCAGCACTGTTGCCCATCGCCCAATCATGCCCGAGTACTCCTTCGACTTCTTCAGAGCCAACAGGGGCTCATGATCAGTCACCAGGGTGAACTTTCGCCCATACAGGTAAGCACGAAAGTGACTGATTCCCCAGAGAGCCGCATAGCATTCTCCCGTCGGAGCGGGGTAGTTGCGCTTGCAGGCGGGTACTGATTTGGACGCATACTCCACCACACTCTCGAGTCCGCTTGGTCCCACCTGGGCGAGGATCGCCGAAATCGCCTCTGGCTGCCAGTAGGTGGTGAGAACAAAAGGCTTTTCGGGATCCGGTCTTATAAGGACCGGAGCCAAAATGAAAGCAGTCTTGAGCTTGGAAAACGCTTGATCACACTCCGGCGTCCAGATCAACGACTGATCTTTGCGCAACAGATTTGTGAGGGGTCCCGCAATCGCCGCGAAGCCCTTGATAAATCTTCGGTAATACGAGGCTAGGCCCAGAAAGGCGCGAACTTGCGTGATAGTGGTAGGCACTGACCCGTCCCTGACAGCTGCCACCTTCCGCGACTCCGGTTGGAGTCCCTTGTCTGTCACCACGTGCCCAAGAAGGAAATGGTGGTGAGGAAAAATTGACACTTCTCAATCGCCACCTTGAAACCTGCATCTCGTAACGCATGCAGTGCCCATTTGATGTGCTGCACGTGTCCCTCGTAGGAACTCGATTACACCAGGATGTCATCCATATACACAATCACGCAGTAGTTGATGATGCTCTGTGCTAAACGAGTCTTCCGTACAAAATTCTGAAAAGCCATATTCATGGCCCGCTGAAAAGTTGCAGGGGCATTGCAGATACCCATCGGACATCGAATCCACTGCCGCGTGCCCTCGAAAAGCACAAACGTTGTTTTCGATCGATCTTCCTCTCGGACCAGAAGATGATGGAACCCATGACGAACATCAAACTTGCTGAAAAATCGAGCACTCCCAATCGCATCCAGTAACTCATCAATCCGGGGGAGGGGATACACATCTTTAATCGTGATATCATTCAGTTTTTGGTAATCAATGCAAATGCGAATCCCCCCAGCCTTCTAGGGTACTATCACTACAGGAAAAGACCATGGTCCTATAGCGGGTTCGATCCATCCATTAGCTTCGAACTCCTTAATCCGTTGAAAGGCGGCTGCTCGTTGAGCTGGCGAGTATCGGTAGGGAGCGCAGCTAATGGGCGGATGATCTCCCGTGAGAATAGCATGTTCAATTACATTAGTTAACCCAATATCATTGTCATGCACGCTCAGCACTTCTGCGTAACCATTCAATACACAGATTAACGACTTCCGAAGTTCCGCGGGAACGTGATTTGGGAGGGGGATCGTCAATTCCCCGGACATATTAATGGGCATATCGATCCAATCAACCGGCCGTTCCCGCCGCTCATGGACACTAGAGAAAACAGAACTACTGGTGTGTACAGAAAAGACAGTTGCTATCATCTGGGACTTAGCGGGGCTGATCATCTCCGTTTTTTTAGTTTCAGCGTCAGTCTTTGAACCAATCGAAGTCGGTTCCACAGTTAGCCCTATTAGATCCGTCATTTCTTGCATTAGATTCAGCACGTCACTTACCGGTGCTTCTGCTTCTTGTTTAATTAAGGCGATGGTGGCTCCTGTCGTTAGTAATGATCGGGGTGGAAAAACAGAAACGTCCAAATACAGTTCCGTTTGCTGATAACGCGTTCGTAAGGAAAGAGCTCCCTCGTACAAGGTGCGAGGGGGTTCCAAATCATCAGCGAGATCGGAAACTTGTAATATGGGTTCCCCGAGGAGGACTGAAGGACTGACCTGGGTTGTTAGAGGCATGAATGCATTGTCTTCAGAATCCACGTGGAAGCTTCAAGCGGTGTCGGGGCACACTCGAAATTCTTCGGGGGTTTCATGTTCGAAAAGTTCAACCAGATGCTTCCATTCCTCTTCATTGGGCATCTCTTCTTCGTATTCTCGCTCCCTTATTCCATCCCCGAGGCGCGAGGGGGAGCACTCCTCGGGATCAATGTATCGAATCATCCCGATAGGAGCCGAGTTAGGGACCCGTTTTATCGTTCGGGTGGAAACTCGCAAAGGAACAGTTTGAGGTTTTCCCCCAGTTTGCGTGAGCACCAGTTGCTTTGAATCGAAATGCAGACGGGCGCCCACCGCCATTGCCCAAGGTAATCCCAACAACACAGAGTAGGAACGTACATCTATTACGAGTGCGTTAACAAGGACGTATACTTGCCCGACCTTTACCGCCACGTTCTCGATAATGCCTACAATGTTCATTGCTTCCTCATCGGCAGAGACATAGTTGTCTTTGCCAGATTGAGGAAGAATGGATCCAAGTCATCCCGTTTTTTTAACAGTTTCCAATGATATGGCCACTGCAAAAGACCCTGTGTCGATTAGGGCATTAAACGGCTTACCCCAAACTTCACAGTCACATTCCGCACTTTTCCATAGTACTGGCCGAGCTCGTACGAAGTGATCCTTTTCTGCTAAAGAGATGGCGGCTATGCGTGCGGCTTCAGGTTCTTCAGTGTCCGGCTCAGGGGATACCACTTCCTCACCTTCTTCCTTCTTCTTCAACATCCGTTGTATGCGTTGATAGGTGAAACGCTTTTGATTTTTCTGGCAGTGTTGTAAAAGTTTATCGTTCGCCGCTTCAGATATGGTCAGCAGATGCCCAACGGGGATAGGAACGCGGACGTCTAACTGCTTGAGCGTTTTCAGTACATCAATGTCTCCTGTCCGAAACTGCGGTCCTGGATTGGATTCGCGATCAACCCACTCGAGATCATCTGGGACCGATCGGATCGCTCCGATCATGCCTGCAAGATGGAGATCCTCGAGGGGATCGACCACGTCAGCGGCGTCAGAGGAAGAAGCTCCTGAAGTCGATGTCGTTGCCATCGAAGGGGAGGGATGATCTGTGGCATATGCCACGAGTTCTCTTCCTTGATCCGTATCCATCAGAGCGGCCACTCGTCCTCGATTAAGGGCAACTGGGGCCGGTGCAAGGGGAGGCTGATTACGTTTCGGCTACGGACAGTCACGGGCGAAATGCCCGGGCTGCTTGCAGTTAAAGCATTCGATCTTCCCTACTGGATTAGCTAGATGAGGGAACTGAGGCGCGAACCCAGGAGCAGGCGGGGCAGGTAAGAGTGGAAACGATGCAGGGGCAGGTCGAGCAGGAGCTGGGTTAGGCTTAATGAGCCTGCTCATTATCTGCTCCATTCGTTCCATATGAGCGACTTGCATTTGGATCAAGTTGCTCATCCATTCAGACTGCTTGGAAGTAGCCGTATGGATCATCTGGGTAAGGTGTAGATTGGTTACGGCCGGCGAGAGGGGTTCAGAGGAAGTTCCGCTTCTAACGGCTGCGATTGATCGATTCACCTGGGGAGATGGAGGAGAAGCAGTCGGGATATCGGAAATGATTCGGTCAGGAAGGTCATGGTCGGGGCGGGGATAAAATCGTTCGACCGCCTGCAGCCATGATCGTCTTTTGGTCGTTACATCCCGTATGGTATCTGTAATATCCTTGTCTCCCTCGCTGATATATTTTTCTGTATTAGCCAAGTCTACCTCTAACGCTTTAGTGATGATAGCCGACAACTGGGTTGTTTTCGGCGGAACCTTTTTCTGCAGTTTCCCTTTCAAGGTCGGACTTCGAAGGTGATCAATAAACAAATCTCGAGCGGATTTCTCGTCTCGCCCAGATTTATCAAATGTGGTTTGAAACCGATCAACGAAATCGGGTAACAGTTCCCCTGATCCTTGGGGTCGATTTTTTAGTACATACCAGGCGGCATCTTCACTAACCGTATCAATTCGAGCCAAGAATGCATGCTTAAAAGTCTCCCAATCTACCCATGTATGGTTTCTGAACCAATCGTGCGATGTATTGCGGAATAGTAATGTCAGAACACGGGGGAGATCCGTTGCGCTGTAGTTTTGAGCTTCGACAGCTTCCAGCCAAGCCTCGGGATGGGTATGGTTGGGGAAGAAGGGGAAGGGGGCAGGGATGCTAACGATCACCCTAGTACCGTCCACCATTGGTATTGTTGGCGCAGTCGCACTAGACTGAGACCTGGTCACGGGGCGATCTCGACGAGCTAGTGGAGGGTCTCTCCTACCTCTCGCGAGTTCGACTTACTATCATCAGAACCGACACGTGTCGGCTCCGATACCAACCCCACGCCCTGGGCTGTCTTTCGTTCGGAGTGTTAGCTGTGCGGAAAAGAGGCACTGAAAAACAGCAAGAGGGGGTGTGCCAAGGATTTTTGGAAATTGAGTGTGGGGACACAGACGGAACTGAAATCCCCCGTGTTGGTCCGATGGAGCAAGTCGACCGTTTTTACGCGTCGCGAAATGCGCGCTCGAGCAAGGCGGGAAGAGAGGGAAAGATCCAAATTCAATCCAAAAAGTATTGTCGTGCCTCCCACCGGGCTACAGCACGTCGTTTAGAACAGAAAGGCTTCGGCACGCTCCGCATGTCTCCTTTTCGTACCAAATCCCGTCGTCGTTCGCTGGTTAGTTCTGAGTCTGACGTGGAGGGTCTCAACCGCGTGGCTCGTTCTTTATGCTTGTCTTCACTCCGCACACGGTAGTGGAAACCCCTGGACTCGTAGCGCTCAAAACGCTGACATTCGGCGCATAGAGTGCGCGGCCAGTGGGGTTCTACTGCCGTCCACGGRWTGACGATCAACTCGTTAAATGGCAACAATACCGAGTACRGTGGGAAGTGCGTATCGATAATTACAAACMCGGCTTCTACGAATCCGGAACAACGGTTGGCCGGAGGGAAGTAATACTGCCCGCCGGTTTGTGCAACGGCTTCTCGTACGTCCCACTCACATACACGTGTCCTTTCCTCACTGTAGGGAAAAGGTCGCGTTGGGATGGGAGATACGGGAGGCTGGCGCCCAATCGAAGGGTACTTGTCAGTCCATATGTCAATCAATCACAAAATATCTTGAGACGTCATTAAGAACAAAAGCGATTCGCGCGTTCCCCAATCAATCTTTTTGACACAAGAGAGAGAGCAAACAAAGATCAGCTTGATCACGCATATGGCTACGGGTCCGATCAGTTCAACGCAACGTTGGTCCCTAGGCGCCTTGTTTCTCAAGGCCGCCTCGTGGCTCGGCTGCTGATGTCGTGCAGCATAAGGCAGATGGCATGCGCAGTGCAAACGGAGCTACAGACCTTAACACTCTTGCATTCTCGAACAAAATCCCGACGACAATCGTCTAATCAACAAAAGAGTCACACATTCCATACATGCATTCACTGTGGAAGGTGCGAGAATGAGACATGCACAGGAAAAGATGGATCGCATTACTCAGTACACACGCATCCACCGTTCACAAGATAAGAAGACAGGGTCCTTGCGTAGGAGGATTACCCAGGAAACTAATGGAAGAGTTCCGGAAGAAGTTCTTTCACGCAGAATGCCGACTCATTCCCATTGAAGAGAGGGACAATCATTCAGACGCATCGTCATTCAAGAGGAGAGAGAGAGAAAGAGAGAGAGAGAGAGAGAGAGAGAGAGAGAGAGAGAGAGAGAGAGAGAGAGAAAGAGAGAGAGAGAGAGAGTCGAGATAGGTGATGACCAGATCTGGGAAAGAGACATTCGACATGACCACCATGCACTCACGCCAAAGATAAAGGTCCGTAACAACAAAGGCGCATTCGCCGTTAATTCCAATATGGCCCCGGGCCAATCACTCACTCGACTCCAATCATCGATCCTCATACCCGCACCGACGGTCCCGGCCGTCGCGTGCTAACTCCCACCACTGCGATCGTCACTGTCGTAAACTCGACACGGTTCGCCCGGATCCCACAGTCCGTCGTGGCGATCAAGCGCGCAACCGGCCAGCCTATCGTCAGCCCGACAGGACTTTCCGACTCGCATGAATCCACTTTGCCTAGCCACTGCTTCCCGGAAGCTGGCTTAGGAATCGAGAACGTAAGAGAGATTTGCGGACGCGCTTGCGGGTTTTATAGTTGCAACAGGGGAGATAGAAGGGGGAGAAGTCGACAGGAAAGCTGAGGTGTAAGAGGAGGAGGAGGAGAAGACTTTGAGAAGAGTGCTCTACGAACGCCATGTTGATCCCTCGGAACTCAAGGTTCAACCAATCAGATCCGTTGCGCGATAGGTAGGTCCTATCGATCCACGCACCTGATTGGCGAGCGGGAGTTGTCGGGGGATCGACCGGTCGTCGTACGCCAGACTCAGAGAGTGAGAAGAGAAAAGGCGCGACAGGTGGCAAAGATGGGTCCAAGATTCAGACGATCAAGAAAGGGAAATGGGCGCGCAAACAGCAAGACGGGGGAGGGGGAGAGAGAAAGAGGAGGGAGAAGGAAAGGGGGCGCGGGAGGGAGCGATACAGGGGACAGAGAGGAGGAAGCTTTTGCATGCACGGCGCCGTCAACAAAAAAAAGAAAAAGGCACCGAAACAGTTACAGCTTGCTCCTATCCTAATTCAAAATTGAAATCACCATATCCGCGCGCGAAAAAAACGACGCGGGAAAAGAAAATCCTACGCCTATTCGTATTCACGCAAAATTTCAAGAGTTTTTCCCGACGCGCCCAAGAACATTCACACACCCAAAAAGGACACGTCGAAGTTCCGCTTATCCCGGAATTCCCAACTACCAAGCCCAATTCCCAGCGCGCTCGCTAAGGCGCGCGCAAATTGTCATGTATTTCCCGACTTTGCAAAAAGAAAAACAGAACTCAGTAGTCGAAAAAGCTCTCAAAAAGGAAAATGTGGCACCCGAAAGCAAGAAATCAAAACGGGGTTTTTCCTGGGGTTGGTATGATACAAGCAAAAGAAAGGGTACGAAAGATAGCACGGGTTCGTGAAGTGGTTGTTTACATACCTAAGTATCCTCATGACATGGGAGGGCCTGGCACCCCAGATGGCCCAGAACATGTTAGCGAAACAGCTGAATAAGTTGGGGAGGTGGGGGAATAAGTTTACTTCACTTCTCGGCAGAGCGCTGGTCCTAAACACTTCAATTTTCTCCATGATGTGGTACATGGCAGCGGTATGGACAATACCAGACAACTCACTAAAGGAATTAAACCGGGTAGCGAGGTCATACCTTTGGACGGGCAACCCCAACAAGGGAAGTTGTATCCCAAAGATAGTCTGGCAATACATTACAAGGAAACCAATACAAGGAGGACTAGGAATCATTGACCCGAAGTGCGAGACAAAAGCCCTTCAAGCAAAATGGATAGTTCGGCTGTTGACGAAACCAGGAACAGCATGGAACGAACTTGCCTTGGACAGCATAAGGGCTCTAGCTCCAGTCTTATCGCCAAACAACATGTTGGGTTTATTTTGGGTAATGAACAAGGAATGGTCTTTGAAAAATGTGAGAAGAAGATCCAGGGGGGAAAGGGAGCAAAATATAGACAACCGCCAAACGCCGTATTGGGCGGCTCTCATCCGGATTTGGAGAGAAATAATGTCGAAAAAGACCAACAGACCCAAATCAAAGGATGAGGTGTTGAGGCAGCCATTATTTGGCAACGAATGGTTGAAGAGCGAAAGTGATGAACACTTGTTCTTAAACCATAAATGGCTATCCTGGGTAAAGAACGGGGTTTGGATAGTTGGACACCTGTGGAACAACGAAAAGAAAGAATGGGTATCCGAGCAGGAACTAAGCACACGGTTAAAAGGCTGCCACAGGAGAGGTCCCAACCTGCAGTACATAACGAAGATGTCCCTCAAGAATGGAAAGATACGCTCAAGCAAGGGGGGGATTGGAGAAGCGGTGAGTGGGGGGTCAGAATACAAGAAAACCATCCCTCCAGGGCTTTCCAATTCTCACATCTACAACAAGGATCTGGTACTCGAGCAGTGTTCACTTCCTTCCCTATCACACACTCCACGAGGGGTATGCCGTCGATTGTGAATATCAACGTGGTAACCAGAGTTATGGATTATTTCCTGCTCAGGAAAGTAAGAGTGTTGGGCACATAGCCGAAGATCATCTTCAGGTACGACAAGGCA